CACAATATCTTGCTTTTAAAAACAAAAAACTTTTTTCACTGTTATAGATTGAATAGCAGTCAGTGTCCTTAAAGCGGGTGTGTCAGGCTCACAGTGGATACAGTGCCCAGTGCCACCACTCACTCACTGGTGTTACAATAGCTTGCATTTAAAACCAAAAAACTTTTTTCACTGTTATAGATTGAATAGCAGTTAGTTGTCTCAAAGCGGGTGTGTCAGCCCTACAGCGTGTACTCTGCCAGTTTACAATGCCACTCATATCTGGTGTCATAATAGCTTGCATTTAAAAACAAAAAACTTTTTTCACTGTTATAGATTGAATAGCAGTTAGTTGTCTGCCAGCGGGTGTGTCAGGCTCACAGTGGATACTGTGCCCAGTGCCACCACTCACTCACTGGTACCTGGACGAAATTTATTTTCACAAAAGGCAATCCCCAACCTGTACTCGATTGTGCAAAAGGAAATAATGGCATGTCTGGCACACAGTGTTGGGGCAAGGGTCCATCTGACCACTGATACCTGGTCTGCAAAGCATGGTCAGGGCAGGTATATCACCTACACTGCGCATTGGGCAAACCTGCTGACGGCTGCCAAGCATGGAATGCGTGGCTCTGCAGAGGAGTTGGTGACACCGCCATGACTTGCAGGCAGGCCTGCTGCCACCTCCTCTACTCCTCCTACTCCATCCTCTTCCATAACCTCCTCGGCTGAGTCCTCTTCTGCTGCTGCGTCTTGCTCCACATCAACGGATAGGGGACGTAACAGGGATTAAACTGATAAGAATAGTATTACTTAACACACCACTCCTATCTGGTGGCACATTAGATTGCACGCGCAGTGCCCCAAATTTGTTGTGATCTGTGAGTAAGGTAAACGGTTGTCCATACAAGTAAGGTTGCAGCTTTTTGAGGGCCCACACCACTGCCAGGCACTCCTTTTCAATGGCAGTGTATCTACTTCCCTGGGCAAAAGTTTCCGGCTTAGATAAACCCTGGGTTGCTCGCCGCCATCTGCTCCGACTTGGCTCAGTACTGCTCCCAATCCAAACATAGAAGCGACTGTATGGACGAGAAAGCGTTTAGTTGGATCAGGAGCAGAAAGTACAGGTGATTTAATGAGCGCCGTCTTGAGCTGTTGGAAGGCCTGTTCACACTCTGGGGCCCATACTACTATCTTGGGGAGGTTTTTACGCGTTCCAATATGGCACTTACTGGGCTTTAGGGTCAGTCCGGCCTCCCTAATCTGGTCTAGTACGGCTCCTATGTGGGTCAGGTGTTAGGGCCAGGAGCAGCTAAAAATGGCTATATCATCCAAGTAGGCTCAGGCATACTCCTGAAACCCATCCAGTAGCCGATCTACCATCCTCTGAAAGTTAGCCGGGGCATTCTTCATCCCGAATGGCATGGCCTTAAACTGATACAGGCCAAACGAGGTGACAAATGCGGACTTGTGGATGGCGTCCTCGGCTAATGGAATTTGCCAGTACCCCTTGCACAGATCTATTGTGTTGAGCTACTGGCCTCTGGCCATTTTTTCTAGGAGCTCGTCTGTCCGGGGCATAGACGAGGCGTCTGAGATAGTTTTATCGTTTAGCCTCCGGTAGTCTACACAGAAACGGGTCGTGCCGTCCCGTTTCGGTACTAGTACTCCCGGGGAGGCCCAGGGGCTGTCAGAGTGTTCTATCACCCCTAACTGCATCATTTCCTCAATTTCTTTCTGAATATTTTCTTTAACTGCTTCGGGTATGCGATAGGCGGTTTGGCGAAGGGGGGTCTGGTCTAGGGTTTCAACTTTGTGAGTGGTTAATGGACTGTACCCAGGTAGGTTGGAAAACGTGGCCCCCTTGTCCTGGATTAGTCTTTGGACATGGGTTTGCTCCTGGGGGTCTAACCGTTCTCCTAACTGTACTTCTCCCAGGTCTCCGCTCTGGCACTCTAGGTCTAGGAGATCTGGGAGAGGCAAATTATCATAATCTTCAGTGGCAGGTGCACAGATCGCGGTTACCTCTTCCGTGCGCTCATGGTATGGCTTGAGCATGTTCACATGGAGCATGCGCTTGCCTCCCGTGCCTGTGACCGCACCGATCACAAAGGTGGTATCACAAACCTGCTCTACCACCTTGTATGGGCCCTGCCAGGAAGCCTGCAGCTTGTCCTTGTGGACAGTGTCAATCCATATCTGCCAAGTGACCCTATGTAGGGGAACAGTCTCTATTCTGCTCTGTGTCAGTGTGTATCAGGGGCTCTGAGGACAGGTGTCAATCCATATCTGCCAAGTGACCCTATGTAGGAGGAACAGTCTCTCTATTCTGCTCTGTGTCAGTGTGTATCATGATCTCTGAGGACAGGTGTCAATCCATATCTGCCAAGTGACCCTATGTAGGGGGAACAGTCTCTATTCTGCTCTCTGTCAGTGTGTATCATGGTCTCTGAGGACAGGTGTCAATCCATATCTGCCAAGTGACCCTATGTAGGGGGAACAGTCCCTATTCGGCTCTGTGTGAGGAGGAGGAACGGGAAATGAGTAGCTCGGCATCCAACCTTGTGCAAATGGGGTCTTTCATGCTGTCGTGCCTGTTGAGGGACCCGCGTATAAAAAGGCTGAAGGAGAACGACCTGTGCTGGGTGTCCACGCTACTAGACCCCCGGTATAAGCAGACAGTGGCGAAAATGTGACCGAATTACAAGTCGGAAAGGATGCAGCATTTGCAAAATAAATTAAAAAGTATGCTTTACACAGCGTATAAGGGTGATGTCACAGCACAACGGGAATCTAACAGGGGAAGAGGTGAAAGTCATCCTCCTCCTCAAACGACCACGCCATATCTGCCAAGTGACCATATGTAGGGGTAACAGTCCCTATTCTGCTCTGTGTCAGTGTGTATCATGGGCTCTGAGGACAGGTGTCAATCCATATCTGCCAAGTGACCCTATGTAGGAGGAACAGTCCCTATTCTGCTCTGTGTCAGTGTGTATCAGGGATCCTTAGGACAGGTGTCAATCCATATTCGCCAAAACTGGCTGTAGGGGGGAACAACTTATTCTGTCGCCGTAGTGTGTATCATGGTCTCTTTGAGGACAGGTCAATCCGAAAGATTCGCTAAGTGACCCAATGTAGGAGGAACAGTCCTTATTCTGCTCTGGGTGTCAGTGTGTACTGTAGAGATCCTTAGGGACAGGTGCGTCAATCCATATTCCGTCGGCGACCCAAGGGAACAGTCTCTATTCGCTCTGGTGTCAGGTATCGATCCCTAGGGATAGGTGTCAATCCATATCTGCCAAGTGACCCGATGTAGGGGGAACAGTCCCTATTCTGCTCTGTGTCAGTGTGTATCATGGTATGTGAAGACAGGTGTCAATCCATATCTGCCAAGTGACCCTATGTAGGGGGTACAGTCTCTATTCTGCTCTGTGTCAGTGTGTATCATGGTCTCTGAGGACAGGTGTCAATCCATATCTGCCAAGTGACCCTATGTAGGAGGAACAGTCCCTATTCTGCTCTGTGTCAGTGTGTGTATCAGGGATCCTTAGGACATGTGTCAATCCATACCCGCTGCGACCCTATGTAGGTGGAACAGTCTCTATTCTGTTCTTTGTCAGTGTGTGTGTATCAGGGATCCTTAGGATAGGTAAACAACCATATCTGCCAAGTACCCGCGTAGACCCAAATCCCGCCCTGCTCTTGCGTCTGTGCACTAGGGGCTCCTGAGGACAGGTGTCAATCCATACCAAGGTGTCAATATGTCATATGTCAGGTGTCAATCCATATTCATTGTGATTTAGGAATGTTAGGTGATTTCTGCCCTTTATGGATTAAAACTAGACTCTGTATCAACTGTGTAATTTTCCATGGGAGTTTTGCCATGGATCCCCCTCCGGCATGCCACAGTCCAGGTGTTAGTCCCCTTGAAACAACTTTTCCATCACTATTGTGGCCAGAAAGAGTTCCTGTGTGTTTTAAAATTCGCCTGCCCATTGAAGTCTGGCTATGGCGTTCACCGGTTCGCACATTATGGAAGTTCACGCAGTTCAAAATTTCTGACTGTGTGTGCGTCTGGCTGTAAGTATTTCAGTGTGTGTATCTGGCTGTGCTTGTGTCAGTATATGTATCTGGCTAAGTGTGTGTCTGGCTGTGTTTGTGTCCGTGTATGTATTTGACTGCATTTGTGTCAGTGTATGTATCTGATGGTATATGTGTATCTGGCTGTGTTTGTGTCAGTGTGTGTACCTGACTGTGTGTTTGTATCTGGCTGTATTTGTGTCAATGTGGTATCTGGCTGTGTTTGTGTCAGTGTATATATTTGACTGCATTTGTGTCAGTTTATGTATCTGACTGTATATGTGTATCTGGCTGTGTTTATGTCAGTGTGTGTATCTGACTGTGTGTGTATCTCACTGTGTGTGTGTGTGTGTGTGTGTGTGTTTGACTGCATTTGTGTCAGTGTATGTATCTGAATGTACATGTGTATCTGGCTGTGTTTTTGTCAGTTTGTGTATCCGACTGTGTGTTTGTATCTGGCTGTGTTTGTGTAAGTGTATGTGTAGTGTGTCAGTGTGTATGTGTATTTGTGTGTGTATATATATATATATATATATATATATCTGTGTCTGTATATGTGTACTTGTGTGTCAATTTGTAAGTGTACCTGCCTGCCCGTGTATGCGTACCTGTGTGTGTATTTGTATGTCAGTGTGTGTGTGTATCTATGCATGTGGCAATGCATACATCCCATCATTCCAGTGCCAAAATTGCACACAAAAATACTACTACATTCCAATGCTAACACTGCATTCAAATACATCACCGCATGTGTATCTGTGATCCTGTGTGCATCTGTGTGTGTGGCAATGCATACACTCCTGCATGTGTGTCTGTGTGTACATATCTGTGTAAGTGTGTATCTATGTGTGTGGATGTGCCAGTGTTTTTATCTGTGTGTGTGTGTGTGTGTGCACCAGTGTGTTTATCTGTGTGTATGTGTCTGTATCTGTGTGTATCTGACAGTGGCGGATCCAGAGCCTGATCTTGGGAGGGGCACTTGTAGATTATTTAAATAAATAATCCTGGCACAATAACCACTACAGCTCAGTGTAGTAGTTATGGTGCCAGTAGTGCCAGGATCCCACCCCAGAGTAAGTAGTCATACCGTTTAAGAACAATTTGTCAACTCACCTGGGGTCTGCTGGGATATAGGGCATAAGAGCAGCGGTGTGTGTTAGGGGTGAAGTGTGTGTGAGAAAGGTGCAGTGTGTGTGAGCGGTGAAGTGTGTTTGTGAGTGCATGAGGGCGGCAGTGTATGTCAAGGTTGCAGTGTGTGTTAGGGGGCAGTGTGTGTGTGGGGCAGTGTGTGTGAGGGTGGCAGTATGTGTATGGGGGGCACTGTATGTCTGTGTGGGGCAGTGTGTGTATGGGGAGGGCACTTTATGAATGGGAGGCATTGTATATATGGGGGACAGTGTGTGTGTGGGGCAATGTGTGTATGGGGGCAGCAGTGTGTGTAGGGCACTGTATGTGTCTGTGTGTGTATGGGTGTGCAGTGTTTGTGGGGCAGTGTGTGTATGGGTGGGCAGTGTGTGTATGGGTGGGCAGTGTATGTGTGTGTGGGGGGCAGTGTATGTGTTTTGGGAGGCAGTGAGCAGTGTGTATGGGGGGCAGAGTACATGTGTGTGTGGGGCAGTGTACATGTGTGTGTGGGGGCAGTGTATGTGTGTGTGTGTGAGGGGGCAGGTGTGTGTGTGTGTGTGGGGGCAGTGTCTGCGTGTATGGGGGGCAGTGTATGTATGTGTGGGGGCAGTGTGCGTGTGTATGGGGGGCAGTGTATGCATGTGTGGGGCAGAGTATGTGTGTGTGGGGGCGGTGTATGTGTGTGTGTGGGGGCACTGTATGTGTGTGTGGGGGGCAGTGTGTATGCATGTGTGTGGGGCAGAGTATGTGTGTGTGTAGGGCAGTGTATGCATGTGTGTGGGGCAGTGTGTGTGTGAGATTTGTGTATGTGTGTGTGTGTGTGGGGGGCAGTGTATGTGTGTGTGTGTGGGGGTGTATGTGTGTGTGGGGGGCAGTGTATGTGTGTGTGTGGGGGCAGTGTATGTGTGTGTGTGGGGGCAGTGTATGTGTGTGTATGTGGGTGCAGTGTATGTGTGTGTGGGGGGCAGTGTATGTGTGTGTGTGGGGGCAGTGTATGTGGCAGGTATAGCATGGCATGTATTTCGCCGTCGGAACCCACTTCCGGGTTCACGGCGCTTAGCCCCGCCCCTTTTTTCTGACGCGTTCCCTCCACGATACTTAGGAAGACCGCGCCAGATTCAAAGGGCTGGATTATTCGCACATGTGCTGCAGAGAGATCAGCTGCTCTACTTTGATCCTACCTGCTCCACTTCTAGACCTCGGATTGTAAAACGGATTTCTACCTTCTCCACTTCTCGACCTTGGCTTGTAAAACGGATTTCTACCTTCTCCACTCCTAGACCTCGGATTGTAACACTGAATTCTACCTTCTCCACTCCCGGACCTCGGCTTGTTAAAATGGACTTCCACACTCTCCACTCCTAGTTCTCGGCTTGTTAAAACGGACTTCTAATTTCTCCTCCATTGGGTGAATTAACCCTTCCAGTGCCAGAACTGCCTTTAAGTTAAGTAAAACTTTTGCCATCCAGAAAAATTTTATGGAGATAGAACAAAGTACAGAGAGTTTTTGAATTCTTGCAAACTACTAATAGCTTTAAAACCTAGATCTTATCCCACCGAAAGATCCAAAGTCTGTTCAGTGATCTCTTTTTTAAGAGGTGAATCTATGGCCTTTTTGGAAAATGATGATCCCATATTAGATTCATTGGATGAGTTCTTTGAAGCTATGTCTTTATTATATGAAGATCCTTTTAAACAAACTACTGCTGATTTAACCATCAGAACATTACACCAAAAGAATAGACCTGTTGAAGATTACATTGCAGAATTCAAAAGATGGGCTACAGAAACCCAATGGAATGACATTACTTTACGCAATCAATTCCGTCTCGGATTATCTGAAGCTGTGAAAGATGAACTCTCTCATACAGAACTTCCTCCTACCTTAAATGCATTGATTCAACTGTCCATCAGTATTGATAGACGTCTAAGAGAAAGAAAAGCTGAAAGGGTTCTTACTAATTCTACTTGGAGAAAACCTTTCACTACTCCAAAACTACCTGAAAAAATTCCTCCTCAAACTGAACCTATGGAAGTAGGTATAATAAAAAGTCCTCTTACTTCTGAAGAAAGAATAAGAAAGAGACAACTAAACTTATGTATGTATTGTGCTTCGAAAGAACATCTAATTTCCGAATGTTCTCTACTGAAACATTCAAAAGGTGGTAAGCTTCATTCATCTACTTCTATATTGAACGTTCTTCAAAAAAGAAAAACATCTACTTATTTTTCTATATCTCTCATATTACAGTGGGATACAAAAAGAATCGTGACTGAGGCCATTATTGATTCTGGTGCTAATGGAACTTTCCTTGATTTTTCTTTTGTTACAAAGAATAAAATTCCTTGTGTTCGAAAAACTAACTTTGTTCCAATCAGAGTTATTGATGGTTCATTTATATCCTCAGGACCCATAAAAGATTAGACAATTCCTCTAAGAATGATTACCAACAATGTACATTCCGAATTCCTTACATTTGATGTTATTAAATCTCCACTTTATCCCGTCATTTTAGGAATTAATTGGTTAAAAACCCATGATCCTCTAATTAAGTGGTCTCCCTTTTTCATTTCCTTTGCTTCTGATTTTTGTAAACAAACGTGTTTACAACATATTCCTATTCTCCAAACTAATAAAGAATCAGTTATACCTCCATTCTACTCCGATTTTGCAGATGTCTTTTGTAAAAAAGAAGCGGAAACACTTCCACCTCATCGGGTATATGATTGTCCAATAGATCTCATACTCGGAGCTCCTATTCCTTATGGCCATATTTATCCACTCTTAAAAGGAGTTAGAAATTTTAAAAGAATATCTTAATGAAAATCTACGCAAAGGGTTCATCAGACCCTCGACCTCCCCAGCTGCTTCTAGTATTTTCTTCGTGAGGAATAAAGACCAAACCATCCGTCCTATTATAGATTACAGAGCCTTAAATAAAATAACAATTAAAAATCGTTATCCTCTTCCACTAATAAATGAATTAATTGAAAGGTTAAGAACCGCAACTATATTCACTAAACTCGACCTTCGAGGAGCATATAACCTCATATATATAAACAGGATGATGAATGGAAGACCGCCTTCCGGACAAGATATGGTCTCTACGAATATCTAGTGATGCCTTTTGGGCTCTGTAATGCCCCTGCAACATTTCAACATTTTATAATTGATATCTTTAGAGATCTTTTGGATATATGTCTTATTATCTACTTAGATGATATCTTAATATATTCTAACAATTTGGATGAACATAGGAAGCATGTTAGATGGGTTCTATCTAGACTGAGAACTCATAAATTATACGCTAAACCAGAAAAATGCCTTTTTGAGGTTACTGAATTCTCTTTTCTAGGATACATTATTTCACCTCATTCTTTGAAGATGGATAATTCCAAAATCGAATGTATTATTAACTGGCCCGCTCCTACTACTACAAAAGAATTGCAACGTTTTCTTGGATTTTCAAACTTCTATAGAAAATTTATTAGAAACTATTCGGATGTATCACATCCTCTTAACCTCCTCAACAGTAGTAAACGTCCTTTCAATTGGAATAAAGATGCACAAACAGCCTTCGACGAATTAAAAAAAAGATTTACAACTGCACCTATTCTACAACTACCTAATCCAACATTCTTATATGTTCTTGAAGTTGATGCATCAGATACAGCCATCGGAGCAGTTCTTTCTCAACAAAAGACTCCACAAGATCCACTTCATCCAGTTGCCTTCTTTTCAAGATCCTTGAGCTCTGCTGAAAAAAATTATCCTATTGGAGAAAAAGAATTATTAAGTGTTAAAGCTGCCTTCGAAAATTGGCGTCATCTTCTAGAAGATACAAAACAACCTATAATAGTTTATACTGACCATAAAAATCTTGAATATCTCTATACTAACAAAACCCTTACGGCTAGACAAGTTAGATGGAACCTATTTTTTAACCGATTTAACTTCTAATTAATATACAGACCTGGAACTAGAAATAAAAAGGCTGACGCTCTTTCTTGAATTCCTTCTAAAACTACTACTGATGATTATCCTCCTAACAAAATAATAGGGATCCTCTCTTCTCTTCATGATGACATAAAGAATTTGAATCAGAAGGATCTTGAACTTCCCAAAACACCTATACTAACAAAAAAGGATGGTATATTTTATTTTAAAAATAGAATTTATATTCCTCCCATTCTTAGGAATAAATTACTTAAGATGGTTCATGATTCACCCCTAGCTGGACATCCTGGAATAAAGAAAACTCTTGAACTAACTTCACGATATTATTGGTGGCCTCGCCAGGATAGAACCATTGAATTATATGTCAAAACTTGTCCTATCTGTCAAAGGTCTAAACCTGAACATAATCAACCTTTTGGATTACTACTTAACTTACCTATTCCAGAAAAACCTTGGCAATCCATTTCTATGGATTTTATCATTGATCTCCCACCTTCTCAACATTTCACCACTATTCTTGTCGTTGTGGATCGCTTCACAAAAATGTCCCATTTCATTTCTTTAAAAAAATTACCCTCCTCTGTAGAATTGTCTAAGGTCTTTATTGACAATATTGTGAAACTTCATGGTCTTCCTGAAGAAATAATTTCTGATAGGGGGACACAATTTACCTCCAAATTCTGGAAAGAGATGTGTCTCTCCCTTCAAATTCAACGCAAACTCTCTTCCGCCTATCATCCCCAAACTAATGGGCAAACAGAAAGGGTTAATCAATGTTTGGAACAATATCTTCGATGTTATTGTTCATACCTCCAAGATGACTGGACCACATGGTTACCTATGGCCGAATTTTCTTACAATAATACCATTCATTCTAGTACGAAAATGACTCCTTTCTTCTCCAACTATGGTTTTCATCCGTCTTCATTTCCCATCCAAACTATTACATCATCCAATCCTACTGTTACATCAAAAAACAAATTTATGTCTTCTCTATTTCTCAAATTACGGGAGAATCTTCAACTCGCCCAAAATAACCAGAAAAAGTTTTTTGACAATAATAGAAGAATC